CACATCAGGTGACAAGGGAAATACAAATTATTTCTAACCCTTCACTTTATTTTTGACAGACATGAAGTATGTTTTCAACAATAACTGAAAATGTCTACAGAGATAAAACCCATCCACACTGGAAAGGGGGTTTCTTCGCAAGCACAAAACACCCCAATATATCTATTTTTTTGTGGCTGAATTGGGTTTCTAGGATTTAATCCTGTTAGACCCACTTCGGAACAGTCGCTGATTGTGTCACCGGAAGTTATTCTTTCAGGCTGGAAACACAAAGGAAGAACTTTTTTTCATTAATAAGTTAAAATTTTGTCTTAAACAAAACAAAACGAATAAAATCATATGTCCATCTGCTGTCATGACTCTAACAATACTGCAACTATTTGACGTGAATGCATGAAGTTCAATTCCCCCCTCCCCAGGACTGCACAAGGAGCTAGAGACATGGTGGGCACAGATGCCATCAACACCCTGGTTGGGCTTTAAAAACAACAAACAATTTAGTGCCACCCTGGGGATAAGGTTCTGTGTATGGATGGTTGTAGGAGCAGGACAATCACACCAGCGATAAACAGACCATTGGCCACATTATGGCCTGCCTATAAGGATCGCCCTTGGAGAGGCACGGAAAGCAAGGGTGGGCCTTAGGCAATATTTCAGCCCCGGCTAAATTTAGGGTCCTAGTAAAAGGACGAAACTGGGATAGCAAAATGACACTAAAACTTGCATCTCTGTGTGATAAATGAGCGACTATGTTCTGTGTAAATGTTGTCATATGTATTGAATGACTGAAGACATAAATTAGCATAGACGAGGACACAATATATCATTATATATCTTGTATATAAGGAATATAAGGCAATAATGGAAATAATGAATCATTAGCAGCTGGATCAAAATAGAACAAGTACATTCATCACATCCATATCCATGAGGCTAGGAGTTTGTCAGTGAATAAAATGGGCAATTTTCATTCAAGGGCAGTTACTGCCACAGAGATCTGAAGTGACTGGCCCTCATAAGTAATAAATAATGAAATAATGAGGTGAGATCACTAATTGTCATTCAAAGATAATCTCACTTCAGTCCTGAACTTTATGTGATTTCCCTTTGACACGAGTGGTGTTTAGTCCACAAACCTATTTTATTAATGTATTGTATTTAAACCTCCATCTGCTGTCATGTTGCTAAATGTTACTGCAAACAGTTTGGGCGTAAACTCATGCTGCTGTTGGTATTAAATAATTCAAAGCAACAGTCCACAAACATTATATTTACTGTGTGTGTTTTGGAGCACCTTTAAGGGGGGGGGGGGGGGGAAGAGGCCCCCTGCTCCCAACAAGCATGTTGTAAGAGTAAACTAATTAGAATTTCCTTCAAAAAGGGAGTGCATCCCCCTGAGAGGCGAGGGAACAACAGTCTGCATACAAACAAAGCTAGATCGGTTAAATGGATGGGCATGCAAAACTCAAGTTCTGGCACCAAAAAAAGCAGAGCTTTCTGTTAGAATTTTTCAACCCATGAACATGAAGAAGAAAACAATTTTACGGTCTCCATTTGACATGGTTGTATTTAATTCACAGCTCTATTTTAATAATACAGTGTAATAATACTCTTACAAGACATTGAGGTACTTATATTTTTCTTGCCTTCATCGTCTTTGATGATTAAATTGTCAGTGAAGCTCTCGTTAGGAATACTGTGGTTTTTTTTTTTTTACCATACAGCTTGGATTTTAAGTTGATGCGATGTTCCAGTATGTTTTATTGAGCTCCGTGTAGAAAGGACAGTCATACAGAACATGTTGATTTGTTTGTTTGCTTTGTGTACGCATACTCTGTGGGAAAGCAGTGTCATGAAAGCTTATGCATGTTTTTATTTACTTCAGTTTTATCTTATTCTGAATTAACAATGGTGACCATTATCATAATTATTATGTCAATAAAATTACTTTTATTTTAGCATAGTTAACATTTGTTATTTTCACTTAGTTTTCCCTACTAATTATTAACAAAAAAAATTTCAGGCAGTAAGCATTTGCTTGATGGCCTGACCTGACTTTTCTACCCCACCCCCCCCCCCCCCTCACCTTTTACCTACAAGTAGCATTTCCCTGATAGCCAAAACAAGTACTCAGGTGCACATTAGAAAGTCATGGATGGATCAGTTACCTTGTCTTTTCTTTCTGTCATATTTAATTATTAAAGGAGTATAAATTTGATTTTTAAAAAAAGAAGTGTTAAACAGTTTTTTCATTGTGTTTTCTGAGACTATCTCTGTGGGTTTGGTCCTATTGGGGAAAGGTGGGGGGGGGGGGGGGGTTTAAAGACCCACTGCCCCCCACCCAAACACCCCTGTCATTAAGGGAGCTAATTGAAGGTTTGCTGAAATTAAAGGCATTGGGCTGATAGGTGCAGATATCGCAGCCTAGCTGTAAACCACAATTTAACATGCCAACTGCTCTTTAGGGGAGGAAGGCAGCAGAAGAATCATTCATTGTGTTTGTATTTAGCACAGCTGCAATATTTATGCCACTGAGCTGACCCGTCAAACTTATTCTGAAAATTTATTTGACTTCCCCTTTGTCCAAGTACATTTATAAATATTTCCAACCTGAACATTGAACTACACACAAAATCCTGTCACGCTTCTGCCACAAATTTATTGTTAAAAAAAAAAAAAAATCAAGTCAAATAAATATTTATTGCACTGAAAGGTTTGTATAGTATCAATCAGATTCAAAGAAACACAACTGATTAAAATACACAGTTAAATGATTTTATAATGATGTATTTCAGAAATGCCTAATATCCATATTGCGTTATCCATCTGCATCTATATATTTCATGCCAGATTATTTACAGCTTGTCTAAAGGTGGCTTACTTTGGTGGTATTTTAGTTTGAAATATTAATTCCCTTTATCAGAATTTCTTGTCATATGTTGTATAATCTTTCCTTACAGTTCTCTAGGATTGTTTATCTTTAACATGTTTTAAGAACTAACTTTATTTTGAAGCCCAAACCTGGCTTTTTTCTGGGGGCAGCAATATAGCCTTTAGGCTAAATGCAGTTTCTGGGACCTCTCCACGGGTGATCCTCATCCATATGGTGGCATTTCGTGTCACTAGGAGTTTATCGCTCTTTGTGATGTCCTAGTGGAGCAAAATTAACTTACTGAACAAGTTTTTCATTGTCATAGGCAGCAGGTTAAATGTTTTACTGCCCTCCATTTTCAAATGGCGAGCAGCAGCAGTTTTTTTCCCTACCACTGGTTGTGATTTCTCTTGAATTGTTGTTTCCTTCTTATGGACTACTATTTTGGGCACATTTCCAACACAGAATACTATGTATTTTTGATGGGGGCAGCATGTCTTGTGGTTGTGCTATGTCAGGGCAGGATGTTGACCAATAGTTTTGGCCATATATTTGATAAGTGCTATGCTTTGAAGCTTGTGGTATTTTGTTGACACTTATTTGTCATAAAATTTAGTAAACAATGTATATTACTGTGTTTCTGACATTTAACCCTGTTGGCCGTTCACACTAAAAAAAATGGGTCATGACCCTGCTGGAATTCCTTAAAAATCCTGGAATAAAAACCAATTTTACAAAAGTCACACACAAAAATTGTTAAAAATTTATTTATGGAAATTCAATTTCCTTTTGGAAAAAAAACTATGTAATGATAAATGAATAAGTTTTCAATAAACATGAAAAAGATGATGCACTAAATGGAATACTTTGCTTAAAGACTGAAAAAAAAACAACAACGTGTTTATCGGGTGACTCATGCTGCAACCTACATCACTGAGATTAAAGAAACTTCTGGTTCTAAACATTTGTATGGGCGTTAAAAACAAACAACAATACATCTTGTAAATAGATCACTGTACACAAGTAGGAAAAGTCACATTTACATGGGTCTGACCTAAAGGTGTCAGTGCTGCAACTTCTCAGGACAGAAGGGTTAACAAAGCTAAACTGTGTTGCCTTAAGAAAGAAAGCATAATGACAAAAAAAAAGTCAAAATTATTTATTTCAGAAACGCAAGCAGGCACCAAGATAACAATATTACAACTGTATATATTTATATGTACAAGTAGAACAGATTCACATTTTATTCTGGAGCTTTCAAAAACTGATGTAATGTTCGGAGAAGTTATTAGTGTTCCAGAGCTGACAGTTTGGCAGATTCCAAACTCCTTGCCAGGGAAATTACCTAGCCCTGATTTAACACTTCTCCTATTTGATCAAAGTGCTTTCAATTTTATTAAAAGAGAAATAATGACATATAAAGCAATACTGAATGTGTAGTGATCTGCTTCAAATGAGACAAGGAAATTGATGTATGTAATCACAGTAAGGTGGATTGTCAGTTATAAAAGGAATGAACACACAAGAAAGGAGTAAGTAATTACTGGCTGGACCAAACTAATCATTTCACAAGTTACTTATCTGAAGGCAGACAAATTAGGCTTATCACATTCTACTTAGCAAAAATGAATGAAAAAAAAGTTAAAGTTTATTTCTGACAGGACAAAACACAATAATAGAACATAAGTGAATCTCAGGGAAACTCTTGAGGCCATTAAAATAGTCAGAAAAACAAATGATAATGTCTCTACTTCTTTCTTCTACATCTATATGTTCCAGTCAGGAATTCACAATCTGTTTATCAGCCAAGACACAATCAATTTAGTACAATTATCCTCACTCTCATACAAAAATGTATCCACACACCGAGGGCTACAAAAAAGTAAAAAATACTGATCTATAGATTTTTCAAAAATCATCTCCATTCTATGATACAATCTGCACTAAAAACATAGATGGGAAATTGATTTATCCTACCTATATCCTATTCTGACTATGATCAGAAATGTTGTTTTTTTGGACATTATAACACAGAAACAATTTGTCAAATAATTTTTTTTTTAAAAGAACTACACCAGGACATGTGTTAACAATTATGAAATAGGTCTCTGCAATGGTTTCTATGATCTTATTGTTTTCTGTGCACACTGATGGTAACAACCGGTCTGTTCTGACCATCTGTAATGGTAACCGATGACTCTTTGGTAACCACAACTTTTCTGACATCTTGGCTCTGTGTAACGGAATACAGCTTCCTCTGGGCAGGTTTCAATGGTGCTTCTATTGTCAGTATTTTGTCGTCTGCAATATATGCCTGTATAGTGGCTGGGTCCACAGATTCTGTGAAAATGTTTTACAAAAACACAATCAGAATAGAAACCCAAAATATGAAGCATAACTCAGTACCTTATCTGAACTTTTGACTCTGTAGCACCGGCTGGCCAGTCCCTGCACTCACGACCTATTGTGATTAGAACCTTACACAAGTCTGAAATGTGCTTGGATACCTTGACCCACTCCTCTCCTTGCCAAAATTGATTATAAATGCCACACAAACAAACTGAATAAATAAGATATTTATTCTCCTCCTTCTTCTTCACGTTCACTGGCTGTAAACTCTGGTGGAAAGTTCTGGTTGTTTGTCCACCAATGGACTTTAGTCTTGTTCCACAACTTGACTGTTGCGTACACATGGGTTCAACAGATCTGACTTAACTGCATGCAGATTGTTGGTTCCTTGTCTCTCAGGCTGATGCACTCTGACTTTGAAGGAAGCTCCTACTTAGTCAACTCTTAACGACATGCTTGTTGGGAAGTCAGTGGGTCAATTCTTGTTTTCCCCACAACTGAGCCTCAAAACCCACACAGGAAAGATATTTATTTAAAACCCCAGTTTGTCCACATGGACACAAATTAACCGCAGACAATACACAAGTAATTACCAGGCAGATCGTATTCTTTGTTAAATTCCTTATGCAGTGTTCTCCCAGAAGATTTCTCTTCATGTTCAGCATGAACAATCAACTTTCTCTCCATTGTTTTAACTACAACATCTTCAGGGCGGAACTCTCCAATGTCAACCTAGGGAGTTAAAAAAAAATTCTACAAGTGATTGCAAGCAACGATTAAATCAAAGGATCATTTATGTGAGCATGAAGATGATAGTTTAAAAAAGAAGGTTTGTTGTTTGTTTGTTCATTCACTCAGGGTATGTTTTGCAGCTGCCTCGTCCGGTTCACAAGTGCAGTTTTTTACGGAGATCCCTAGAAATTGTTGCTGGAGCTACAGTGTTTGTGCAACACTTTTGGCAAGTGGCTAGATTTTTTATTAATGATGCTGATATTGATGAAAGTGATGGAGTCATCTGGGATAAAACCTGTTGCAATGAAATTGAGTCTCTCTACTCTAATTAACTAATTATTTGTTTGCTCACAGCTGCATCAATCATTAAGGGACTGCCATTACCACAATCCTGGGACTTATGGATGTGTAGTGCCTGGATGCTTTACCTGCTAGCTGAAGGTGTTGTGTTCAAATCTGCACAGAATCAGACTGTTTCAAAAGTGACCTTGGCTACCAGGTCGACCCAGCCTCAAACAGTCCTGGGAAGTAAAGGAGGTCGGCCTGGTGTTGACCATATCAGCAATTAAGTGCCCACTGGTCTACAAACTGTGAGTCTAGCCTTACATGCCTGCTACCCCACAGCAGTAAAAAGTGTCTCCATTACTCTCACATGACCAATACTAAACTGAACTCTGCAGACTTGCCATAGAAATTAAGTTGTAACCAATTTCTTCAGCTACATTACCTTCATCATCTTGTAGCAGGTCCTTTGCAGAAGGCAAACCACCAAAGCACTCAGTAAAGACATCCTGTTCCTTGCCACTTCTGCTGTCTCTTGATGTTCATGCCAAAGTTATCTCTAGTATCCTGAGCGCAAGACCTTCTTGGTCAACCAGTGTCTTTTCCTCCAGGAACTATCTCCAAAATTATATTTCTTTCTTGACCATTATTATATTAAATCTGTGCAGAGTGGCAAGCCTTGCATCAGAGGTCCTGAAAGTGAGCATCCTTTGGATTTTATCCCTTGGTTCTGCTGGTATGTTGGGAAATAAGCAGGCAGATAGTCTGGCCAGCTCTGCACCACTTGGTGGTGAACTGATGTCTGACAAGCTAGATGTTGTGAGAGCCCTTTGGGAGTGAGTGAACAGTGAGTGAGGAGGCACAAATAGATCATTACGGTCTGAGGATAATGTACCAGGGGATCTGGCCGAGGCTCAACACTCAAGGAAAGGGTGAGACAGATATTCAAATCAGACAGTAACTGGTAGCATCAAAACTGGAGCTCTTCTCTTGCTGCTGAAGATGGGGATGAAGCCTTTATGGGTGTGTCCCGAGTGCTGTGGTTTCGTTTCATGATTCAACATTCAACATAATTAACTATTGCAGCATTTACCTTGTATGGGTTCCAGGGGCCACACATTTCATCATTGTTATAATGTGCCATTAAGTATCATATAGAGCTCTAAGTATATTCCTCCAGTCTATTCTTTACTGTGTGATCAATTCAATTTTATGATAGAATCCAGTCCAGAGCCTTTGGCCTCTCTTGTAAAAATTCACTTTACGTTGTTTTTTTTAAACATCTTTGTTTCCTCAATACCTATATTTCTTACTTTAGTGCCGAGTCTGCTATTTTTTTTCTCAGGATGTGTCCAACATAGCGCCTTCTTCTGTGTTCTATAACTGTTGTTATGAGTGGTTGCTTTACATTGCAAGGAAAATAAGAATAGACCCCTCTGCCTCCTACAATCCATTCCAAAAGTGTTGTCCAACATTAAGAATCTGTAACTCAGTAACCATTCGCTGTCAGTTGTTGAAATCTGGCATGCAACCTGTTAATAAACATTTGCTTGTAAGAGGTTTTTTTTTTAAAACAATGTAAACAAACATCTAGTTTTCAATTTGCCTTATTTGTGGTATATGAAAAAAAACCGAGACACAAATTCAAAGCAAACCATCAGCATGCTTATAGTTCATTGAGTAATGGGAACTTTTCAAAACATCAGACAGCATACACGTCGTAGGCGTTTCACTCCCAGGTGGTTGTCACCAGCATTAGTCTCCCATTTGCTGTGAATTTTTCATTGTCAGCCCGATATGCTACTGAAAAAATCCCCACGCATTGCTGCACATTTGAATTGATTTCCAAATAATCTCCACACACGTGTCAGTTAGTGTATATTCTATTGTACAAGACTACACAAATTATTATTAAACAAAGATCAAAGAAATTCACTGTTCTTAGAAAACAGCAGCACCTGTGCAATTGAAAATTATATAGCCACAAGAACATGGGAGATCTAAGACCAAATGCACAAATCTGTTTTGATCACTACAAGTTTCTGAGATATATATTTAAGTGTGATTGCACAAGTTTTGAAACGCACTGTAATAAGCAGGTTGCAAAAAAAAAAAAAACACAACTAATGTAGTTTTCTGAAATAGAGTTGAAAAGGACAGATATGACAACCTGGCTGTAAACCACAAACAACATGCCAACCACCTCTTTCACGGTAGAATAATAATAACCCGAAACTGACCTGTAATCGAAGTTTCCGGGAGCCATCAGCTTCGGTGATAATTGGGTTTTTGACCGGGGTAGCCATGTCTAGAGACTTCACTGGAGACGATTTGATGGGGAATATGGCTTCACTGCTAGTGATGGAGGATTGGAACAGTGATGCCTCTACACTCAGGATGCCATCTTTACTGAGAACACACTGCATCTTCTCTTGGTCAACACTGCTAGGAATGTCCACCTGTGTGATAGATTTGTAGTCATTTTATGAAAGATATCCTCTTCAAGCCTTATGTACTGTTAACGGGATGCATCATTTTTTTGGTGGTTTTTTTCTGATATTGGATGTTTATGGTTGTCAGTTTCATTTTGTTATTTAATATTGCATACATTATGTGTAAATTATAAAAAGGTAATAAAATTATAGATTATAAGTATTATGCGCATAAAATTTTAGGTATGCTTTCTACAAAATTGCGAAATCAAACATGCTATCAAACTTTGGGAATTATTAAAGTGATTTGGCTGTGTGGTGTTGATAATTATTAATTTAATCATGCTGAGTATTATGTGACAAATATGATGAAAATTCTTTTCTTGGCATTCACCAGCTTTTAATTCTAGCAGAAGAGCTGGTTGCTCATCCACTTCTGAACGTTCATCTTGTTCCAAAACTTGAATTTTGCATGCACATCTGTTTTAAAGATCTGGCTTATCTGTATGCAGACTATTGGTTCCTGACCTCTCAGGCAGATACACTTCAACTTCAAACTATACATACATAATTAGTCAATTCTTACTATATGCTTGTTAGGGGGGGCAGTGGATCTATTCTTTTTACCCCTATAAAGAGGCCCCTGAGCCCAGAATATGATCAGTGAGATAGAGGTGTGTGTGACAAGGTGATCAATCCATGTGCCTCATGAGAGATGGTTGTTCTTTTTGAATCCCTGGTACATGATATGTTCATGCTATTGTTCTATTTCATAGCAATGATCAATCAAGTTGATGGAGGTGTCTGTGACAAGGTGATCAAGCCATGTGTCTCATGAAAGATGGTTGTTATGTTTTGTATCCCTGATATGTGATATGTTCATGCTATTATTTATTTCATAGCAATGACCAAGTTGATGAAGGTGTCTGTGACAAGGTGATCAAGCCATGTGTCTCATGAGAGACCATTGTTCTGTTTTGTATCCCTGATACATGATTTGTTCATGCTATTGTTCTTTTTGATAGCAATGATCAAGTTGATGAAGGTGTCTGTGACAAGGTGATCAAGCCATGTGTCTCATGAGAGACCATTGTTCTGTTTTGTATACCTGATGCATGATTTGTTCATGCTATTGTTCTTTTTGATAGCAATGATCAGTGAAGTGCTGAAGACCCCCTAATAAGTATGTTACATGGTCTATGAATAAGCCACTCTCCTCTTCTTCTGTATACAGTTGAACATGGTTTCAAAGATTTGCAGATTCCTTGAGTCAGTGGTAGTCTTTCAGAGCGCAGTCACCAAAGCTTTCTGTCTAGACAAAAGGTGCTGATACTCACCACAAAGTGTCTTAAAAAGGTGCCTTTGCTCACAAAAAAGTGTCTTTAAAAGGTGCCAGTACTTACCATGAAGTGACTTCAGAGTAGTGCTAAAAACTGATACCTCAAGAAGGTGCCAGTACTGTGTTCTTCCAGAAAAAAACCACCTAGCAGTCATAGAGGGGAAAGATTATGAAGAAAATAGTTTCAAATAGCCGGTCCTAGTATTCTTGTGCAAATGTAATTTTCTTATAATAATTTGTAAACTTGTTTAATTATTTTATTGCACACAACTTCTGCCTCTTGTACAGCCTCAAGCAGGCCTTCCTTTAGGCTAGTCGTATAATAACTAGAAGATATACATTTTCTGAAAGCATTTTAATTAACACAACACAATCTCTTGCCAGATTGGCCCTACTCACTTGGCGGCTGTACTCTCTGCTAACAGATGTCTGGGCAGATTTTTCTTCATGTCTGGCGTTGACAATCAGTTTATTTTCTTGCACTTTTACCTGGATAAAAACAGCAGTAAAACATTTGAAACAGCTATGTATAACCTCCCTTCTCATTTCCTCCTTCACAAAGAGTACTCTGTCTTAAAACCTTTTCTGAACAACAAAGGTTGTTTCTGCAGAGAGTATCAAGCAATACCTTCTTCAGTGTTTGCTCATTTAATGACACAGTATACAAATGCTGAGCCACAAGCCATGTAAGCACAGTGGGCAGATGCTCACCTATCAGTCTGAAGGTCCTGGGTTCAAATCTCTACAGAGGCATATTTTTTAAAAACTGGCTCTTAGGTCACTCAACATCAAATGCATACCAGGTAATATCATGGGAAGTAAAGGTGGCCAGCATGATACTGACCACATCATTCACTTAATGTGACACACTGTAATGAGGCTTCATCTCCTTTAGTTGTGCTCCAAGTGTCACAGCCATAAAAAAAAACGATTGGTCTTATCAACGTTTTATATATTTTTATCTTGGTGTTGGGAGATAGAGACTTTGACTTTAGCAGATGTTGAAGTGCATAGTATACTGTATTTCCAAATTGTATTCTGGATTATATTTCTTCTCTCAGCCTGTTGGAGCAGTTAAAGTTTGCACCCAAGTACATATGTTTGAAACATGTATACACCCTTTAAATATATGGATAATGAAAATGGGTTCTCATTGCAATAATGGTCGCTACTTGGATGGCGACGGCTGCTTAGTCGGAGTTCAGTCCCTTGGCTGCAGTGCAAATACGGAGCGGACAAGTCACGAATCAAACAACAAAGTGAGGTCGACATGCCTGCTAGAGCTAATGCACGCGCTGCGACTGACAGTAGCGACCGCGGTCTTCCGACGCAAGACTCTCGTAGAACACGCGCTGTGACTGACAGTAGCGACCGCGGTCTTCCGACGCAAGACTCTCGTAGACCACGCGCTGTGACTGACAGTAGCGACCGCGGTCTTCCGACGCAAGACTATCGTAGACCACGCGCTGTGACTGACAGTAGCGACCGCGGTCTTCCGACGCAAGACTTAGTGTCCGTAGATGTGGGACCTGCGGATCAGTATGTCGTAATGAGCGATAAGCCTGCGTGGTTTCCGTGATGTGTTACCCTAACCCTACCCCTAACCCAAACCCTAACCCTACCCCTAAACCTACCCCTAACCCTACCCCTAACCCTACCCCTAAACCTACCCTAACCCAAACCCTACCCCTAACCCTACCCCTACCCCAAACCCTAACCCTAACCCTACCCCTAACCCTACCCCTAACCCTAACCCAAACCCTAACCCTACCCCTAACCCTACCTCTACCCCTACCCCTACCCCAAACCCTAACCCTACCCCTAACCCTACCCCTACCCCTAACCCTACCCCAAACCTTAACCCTACCCCTAACCCTACCCCTAACCCTACCCCTACCCCAAACCCTAACCCTACCCCAAATCCTAACCCTACCCCAAACCCTAACCCTACCCCAAACCCTAACCCTACCCCAAATCCTAACCCTACCCCTAACCCTACCCCAAATCCTAACCCAAACCCTAACCCTACCCTACCCCTAACCCAAACCCAAACCCTAACCTTACCCCCACCCCTAACCCTACCCCTACCCCAAATCCTAACCCTACCCCAAATCCTAACCCAAGACCTAAGCCTAACCCTAGGATGACAGGTAACTATATCATTTGTATCGTTCCCTCTTTACCACTCCGTATTTGCACTGCAGCCAAGTGAGTGAACTCCGACTAAGCGACCGTCGCCTTCCAGCTAGCGACCGTTTTTGCAAGGAGAGCCTGAAAATGTATTGTCCGTTTTTTTAAAAAATAAATAACACGGAATCTGTTTGCAAAATCACATGAATTATATTAGGCCTACATAATTTTCTTCAAGGCTCTAAGATATATCATACAACATTTTTTTTTACCTCCTGTTTTATTTCTAGAATTTTGTGTTGCATTTATCAGACATTCGCTGCGTTCTATTACTACTGACCTTTAAGAAAAAAAATTTGAATTTTGTAGCGGCCGCAGATTGTGAAGCCCAAATTTGTAGCTTATTTAGTTTATACCTAAATCTAGCCCTGGGTTGAAAGCAAGAGAGCATGAGGAAGGCAAGCTATACAAGAAGAAGGACACTATCAAAGAAATGAATGAACAGCAGTCAGGGAAAGAGCACATCCATGGCGACAGAGGGAGCATGTTGCAGATCCATTGCAGACAATCTTCGATTACTGATTCACTGACAGGTATGAAAAGTAGAAACGATGAAAACTGATTGCCCACGCCAAGCTGCAAAGAATAATTCGAGAAGTTTATAAATTCTGGCTCAGGCGTTTTTGTTACCTTATAAAACCTCCAAGATAGTGGGATTTCTGGAAAATGTAAGAAAAATTCTATGAGTAAAAGATGAACCAAACATTATTATCCGATTATCCTACCTGAATCTCCTCAGGTTGGAACTCGCTGACATCAAAGCGAACTCTGAACCTTTGAACCCCATCAGTATCCGTCTCAAACATACTGCGTATCCCCGTGTCAAGGTTCATTGAGGTCAAACTCTGTGGCGATTTCCCTGTGGGTTTCAATGTGAAGAAGTCTTGGCGCATTCTTTCAAACTCTTCCTCCCATAACTTTCTGCGTTCCTGCTCAAAATAACACATCATTTTTAGAAATAAAGAATGTTAGCGTGGAAAAACAAGAATATGATGACATTAATTTATAAAGGTTTACTTTGTACTATGCATTAATACATTCAACTTAACCACCAGAGACAAGGTTAGAAATGATATTATCAGACAGACTGTCGGAACAACACCATGCAGAAAATTCATTGACAAACAGAAGATAAGTTGATTTGGTCATTTAGTAAGAACGCCGCCAGAACAAATCAACGCAGGCGCTATACATGAAAAGATCTGAAGTGAAATCAAGAGGCCGTCCAAGGAGAAATGGACTGTTGACATTAAAATGTTGAATTAAGAATCGACATCACAGCACTTAGGACACTCCCATAAGCGCTCCGTCCCCATCTTCAGCAGCAAGCGAAGAGTTCCAATTTCGATAGCAACAGTAACAGTCTGATCGTATATCCGCCTCATCCTTCCCCTGTGTATTGAGCGTCGGCCAGATCTCCTGGTAACTCCTCACAGCGCCATTCTCCTCAGACCGAAATGATTTATCAGCGCTTCCGCACTGTTCACTCGTTCCCAAAGGGCCCTCACTATATCTAGCTAGTCATTGATCAGTTCACCAACAAGTGGTGCAGAATCGGCCTGTGTATCCGCCTGCTCATCCGCCTGATGACATTAAAGAGCTTCTACATCGACACGGAATGACAACAGTCAATGTTGCCCATCAAGCAATGGATCGAAAACTGTTGTTTCTCAAAACACTTAAGGGCAGAAGTGGAAACTGATGATTATGATGATGATGAAAATTTTCCCCTTTTCTTGCCGATTGGCACGTCTCAAATTCTCCCTGCCTCTTGCCGATTGGCACGTCTAAAATTATCCCTTCCTCTTGTCGAATCCCCAGCTCTATGTGCTTTCATAACTAATGCATCTTCGATATCTTGTATCCACCTTAGCGGTGTCCTGCCTCTACCTCGTTTCCCGGACACTATTCCGAAACACAGTTCTCTCCTGGCCCTCGAGCCGTTTAACACGGCTAAAATACCTCAGCTTTTGGGACAGGATCTTGTTTATGAGCCAGTTCTCCTGGATAATCAGATCATAAAGGATGTTAGTGTTCGTCTTCTTCTTGGTCTATGGAATTCTGACAATATTTCTGTAGCATTTCAGTTTAAAAGCCAATGAATGAAAGTTTAGATGATCTGGCATTGGGCGTCTCAAACGTAACAGCTTTGCCCATCGGGGGAAAAAACTTAGAAGACAGTATTAAGCAGATCTACCTATTAGAACAACACCGCTGAAACCTACCCTATACCCTGAACACTGGGAGCAAGTCAGTGATACAATACAGATAATGACTTCAGTCAATGGATTCACAACTGGAGATGAGTCAAATGATCTTCACAAACGAACAGCTGCTCTTAGCACGATTCACGAAAACTATCCCGAACAGTCGTGGATACATGTTTACACGGATAGATCAGCAAACAGTGCGGTTAAAAATGGAGGGGGGGAGGGATGGGGGTGCTGGAGTCTTTATTACATACCCAGGCAACCACCGCCACACCAAGTGTATACCCATTGGTAAATTCTGTTCCAACTACACAGCGGAGATCGTAGCACTAGAGCAGGCTGCCAAAATGTTACACAACACCAGTTCTGACTGCCACCAAGTGGTCATATTCACAGATGCGCTATCGGTACTTTAATCCCTCAAGAGTGGCAAACTCCCTCACTTGAGATATGAACTTAGCAATGTGGCTGCCCAAAAGTGTACTACTGTACTCCCGTGGGTGCCATCACACTGTGGTATACCAGGAAACGAAACCGCAGATAAACTTGCTAAGAAAGGGGCAGAATGTGACCAGGAAGAGAATGCAGTAACATACTATGAGAAGAAAAGGGTCATCCAGGCTATTAGAAGTGAACAGTCTGGCCAGAGAAGACTACCACTTACTTGACCGGCATGGGCAGGTCATTGTCGTACGTCTCAGGACAGGACATAACAAACTTAACCAGCATATGCACAGGCTTCGTCTAAGTAGTTCACCTTTGTGTCCTTGTGGGCTATATGTGTAGACTACAGAACATGTCCTGCAAGAATGTCCCTTGTTCAGCCCATTAAGAAGAGAATACTGGCCCAGTGAGTCACCACTGCATGCAAAGTTGTATGGGACTAAAAAGGAACTCATAAAAACAGTCAAGTTTATCACAAGAACATGTCTGTCAGTGTAAATCAGAAAGCGAACACAAGAAGAAGAAGACGTTTAAAAGCTCCAATTTTTGTCATCGGCAAAAAGATTACAAGCACAAGGTTGTATGTGAACATCCAATATCTCACAGCATTACAGTACACTGTGAGGTCGTAGCAACGACAAAACTGTTAAACAAGAACATCTTCTCTTGTGTAGATTTCGCGTTTGTGTTTTAATGGATGTGCCTGCGTACCCCTTTGACGCTTGTGTATAAGTGATAAAGATACATATATGGATGTACTGAAATGAAGATAAGTTATGTGCCGTCTTCACAATGAATTGTGGTTACAGTGCACCCATTACGGTCTTTAGGAATATTATATGGCGAGGTGCCAATCTCTCCCACAGTGCAACTCTCGTACTACTGTTTAAAACTGACAAGAATGATTTATAAAGAAATAAACGTGGAAATCTAACTCAAGTACTCTAGGGTCTGAAATCTGAAGAGGAAGGTACACAAATATAAAAGGGGACGTTAAGTTAAAAAAAGACACAAACGAAAACTATAATGAAAGTCTTCAGCTGTGTACACGGAGTAAAGACACACAACATGTGGGTGCGGGGTTGTGTTTATTGTCCCTCCCCCTCCCTTGTTTTACCCCCCCCCCCCCCCCCTTCCCCTTTCCTCCCCCCCCCCCCCCCCCCCCCATCAGTATTTGATGCCGAATGTTTGCCACTAGAAGAGCCAGGAAACTTACCTGCATCCGGCTTTCCATGTCTCCCCATTGTTTGATCTGCCTGTCCTGGAAACTCATGTCATCTTTCTTTATAGGTACATGAATCTCTGAGATGTATGTACGTTGTGCCATTTCTGATCACGTGCTCTGTGTTCTGATATCCGATTGGTGGCTGTAACGTGTGTTTACTCGATCCACAGAAATGGCGATTCACTAAGTGTTCAAATGTCTGCAGGTCGCTGTTAATCAGAAAAACAAAATGCTGAAGTCCTGGAAGAACTAACCTAGAAAAAAAAAAAAAAACTGAAATAAAGATAACAGCTTACTGATCAGAAGAAATGACGATGAACTCTCCCTATACAGAAAACTCATCTATCTATGTAACACATTCTACTCTTAGTGTCTTATACATTTTTTTATTGCCGCTTGTACAGTCAGGGGCGCTGAAACATTGGAAGTTAAGGAAAGCTAGTGTATCAAACGGTTCCCATCGGAGTAGCTAGCATGGACAAAAAATGCCTGCAAAAGTAGGATGTGCCGTCCGAAAGGCACAAATATCGCAGCCATGCTGTAAACGAGCACAACGCATTTACGTCTTGGGATAAACGCAGAAAAAAAAAATAAACCGATGCCCAAGATTTCCTTAAGTGAGATCAAAAGCAAAGGCACGTTTTCCTGCCTGTTGGCATAATAATGGTAGATTTATTTGCTTTTTATAGACCAGTCAGTATGTTTTTTTGTTGTTCTTGGTCTTGACTAGTTTTTTGCCATGTACAAACGGCACATTAATCGAAATACAGCCATAATGCAACACTGTGCTACTTTCGTTTTGCCGTGTCCAACACAAGACCAACAATAGCAGATAACATCAAGACCAAACAGTGTCGGCCATCACATTGATATTTGCACACTAAATTATCAGTCGATGGAGTCTTTTATTGTTTCGTCTATGTTTTTGGACACTTTGAATTATGTGGATGTTTTATTTCCAAGTTTTTGTTAACAGTGCTGCTGTTTTCACCTTTGTCCTCATTTTAATCACATTTTTTTTACACTGGTGGCCTAGGGGGCAAATGGGGGAGGGGCGGGTGGGTTAAACAAAACTTACATATGATGTCCCGTATTTAACTCAAAATAATAAGGAGATGTCCCGATTTGAACTCAAAATAATAATGGGATGTCCCGTTTTCAACTCAAAATAATAATGGGATATCCCGTTTTCAGCTCAAAATAATAATGGGATGTCCCGTTTTCATTTCAAGATATGAAAAATAGCCTGGTTGTCAATTCTCTCGGATTGTTCTGTTTCCTAATCATGGACTGCTATTCTGTGCGCATTTCCAACGCAGGATATTATGTGTTTTTCGTGGGAACAGCGTGCATTGTGGTTGTGCTATGTCGGGGCGGGATAATGACCGATAGTTTTGGCAGCCTCGACCACGCTGCCTTCGTAATGTTTTGATCGCGGCGGCCCACTCGGGAGGACATAATCTCGTCTTCAGGGGACTGCAACTGTCTAGAGAGCAAACTCGATAAAAGCTGTCCCCAGAAACGGAATGTGTCAACCATATATTTAGTGGGGAGGAATCGACACATATGGTTAACTCAATAGCCATTTCAAGATATTATGGCCACTGGGTCATCTCCAGAGAGTTACTAAATAAAGTAAACAAGCAATAGGCAGAGTCATTTCACACCCAAATGAACCAAAGACATAAACACATCGCAGTATTCATACAACATGAATGTAGCAACGCCTTGGCCTTTTAAGACATTTAAATTAGACGTAGAGATGATGACACAATTGAAAGGTCAGTTTATCGCTAAGACACTCAAACAGACCAGTACGTCAATTTTAACAGTTTTGCACCCATGCAATGCAAGCGTAGCCTAGTGCCGACATTTTTCAACCGTGCTAGAAAGATTTGTTACAGTTACACGTTACAAACAGAATTTGAAACTCTTGAACAAACACTGCTTTTTAATGGATATCCAAAAAACAATTTTATGACCTGCTCAAAACAGCAAACTTTTTTTGATATAAACCAAATCTAATTGCGTTTACCAATTTAAATGCACCTGTAATGTTGCATATGTGGGCTGAAATGATCGACGACTGGAGAAACGGGTTGCTGAACATATTCCACTATAAGTGTTAAAAACAATTCAAAACACCAACAACAACGAATCAAGTGACTGGTCGAAAAAAGCCCCATCAGCCATTGCGTGCCATATTTTGGACTATGGGTACATTGTAAACATGGAAGATATATTTCGAATTATTTATACTTCAGCCAACTGTACATTATTGAGATTTGCGGAAGCGACTGTTATAAACCGGTTTAGTCCAGAATTATGCAGACAAAAGGACACGCTCTTCACCTTGCGTTTACCATAGCAAAACAGACAGTTTTCAAATGAGTCGATTTTGTGTTTCAGTTTGAAGCCAATGGTAGGACAAACATTCTTTAACTTCAGGAGATTGAACCTTGACCTCTGACCGGCAGACAAGCTCACTAACCTCTACGGTAACGCTAGACACGCCGCATCGTACTCCATTCATAACATGCTTTACACGGACATGGTTGAATAAGGTGGTCTTCTATGGAAGTAAGATCTCTGATTATGGTTGCAGGAGTGACCAGAAGAGATAATATCAGAAATGAGGTCATAATAGAAAAAGTCGACACAGAACCAATTTTAAATTACATCCAAAGCCTGCCAATCAAACTGTTTACCCACTTAAAGAGAATGTCTTGTAACGCCATACTATACAATGCATACATAAAAAGAGAAAGACGTAAAGCACAAGGTAGACCAAGAACAAGATGGAAAGATATCAGCAGCGAGACTCTACAACAGCTCGGTGTGTCTATGGTCGAGGCGATCAGAAAAGCAAGAAGCAGGACCTTGTATCTCCCTCGACACCCACAGGTGCAACAGAGGAAGTGAAGAAGAAACAGAATATTGAGGTTTCTGAGCCCAGTTTGGGAGAAAAGGGAATATATTCACGGTTCCTGAACAAGCATGTTGTAAAACACCACTAATAAAGGCTGGCCGAAATCGGATGTTTCGGGTAGGGAGGGACAGATATAGCAGTCTAGCTGTAAACCACATCACAATGTGCTAACCACTGTTTTGTGGGTGAAGGCAAAAGCAGGAGGATGAGGAGAGAAAAAAAGCAGAAGACACGACTCTAATACGTAGACCGTTATCCGACCAATGCCCAGGACACACACTAGTCGGAACCAACCCAGGACACACACTAGTCGGAACCAACCCAGGACAGACACTAGTCGGAACCAACCCAGGACACACACTAGTCAGAACCAACCCAGGACACACACTAGTCAGAACCAACCCAGGACACACACTAGTCAGAACCAACCCAGGACAGACACTAGTCGGAACCAACCCAGGACAGACACTAGTCGTAACCAACCCAGGACAGACACTAGTCGGAACCAACCCAGGACAGACACTAGTCGGAACCAACCCAGGACACACACTAGTCGGAACCAACCCAGGACAGACACTAGTCGGAACCAACCCAGGACACACACTAGTCAGAACCAACCCAGGACACACACTAGTCGGAACCAACCCAGGACAGACACTAGTCAGAAGCAACCCAGGACAGACACTAGTCGGAACCAACCCAGGACAGACACTAATCAGAAGCAACCCAGGACACACACTAGTCGGAACCAACCCAGAAAACATACTAGTCGGAACAATCCCAGGACACACACTAGTCGGAACCAATATAAACCTGCTTTTACATGGCTTAAATGAAACCGGGACCTTACCGTTGTAGGTAAGTACCCAAGCAACTTCACCAGAAGGCTCATATGTCTAAGATCAGCGGCTTCTAAATGACTTTTATTCTAAAGGTTTATCAAGGACATCAACTGACATCAAAAGAGCACTATTGAATACAGTTCATTTCTTTTTACCAACATGGTGTTACCAGCGCCCAACGTAGACACTAAAAAATTCAAAACAACAAAAAAGAAATGTCTAACGAACTATACATATTATCAGAAGAGATAGCATCAGAAATGATATCAGGAAATAATCTGAAACAGAACCTGTACTAAACTACATCAACAGACAACAGGTCAAATGGTTCAGACCTATGTAAAGAGTACCACCAGATAGTGCACTACAGAGTCCTGTCATTTAGACACAATGGAAACAGAGGTTGACCGCGCAAGGGATGGACAGATGGAATATCCGAGGCAGTAAATACCAGCAACTACGTGGCACACACCAAGGCTGGCTCCCGAAGCCTCTTTAAAACCTGAGGCTAAACGTGGGAACAGGGCTAGAGAAGAATCAGAAGCAGCCACTGGTATATGGGAGTCGTGGTGTAGCGGCTAGACGCTCGCCTAGAGGTCGGACAATCGCGGACTCGGGTCCTGATGGAACCTGACTTATTTCAAAAATCACCTTGGCTCCCAGGTCGACCCAACCTTGAGAGGCTACCAGGTGCAGTCATGGGAAGTAAAGTCGGCCGGAGTGATACTGACCACATCAACCACCATGTGCTGATGGGTCTATAAAATATAGGTCTAGCCCTATATGCCCAATCCGCAGGAAGGAGTTGAAAAAGGGGCGTTTACTTACTTTTACATATACCTTATTCTAGTCCTACTGAAGAGTTTTTTGTAATTTATAAACATTAGAATCGCCAAAAGGATTACCCCCCCCCTCTCTCTCTCTCTCTCTCTCTCTCTCTCTCTCTCTCTCTCTCTCTCTCTCTCTCTGTATCTCTGTGTGTGTGTGTGAGTATGTGCATGTTTAAATGTTTAAAATATTATCATAGACCGCAAAAATTTGCTTGTGGTCCAACAAATAGGAAAAGCTGCGCTGTGGAAAATGCCATGAAATAACCTTCACCTTTTTATGGTCGCGACCTTGGCGAGCATTAGGTCACCTAGACTGGATACAGGAACCTCTAACATGTATAAACGATGTTTCAACAGGTAGATGCCAGCAAACCACCAGGTTAAAACAGGCATTTCATGTCTTAATACCAGGGAACATCAAATTAAAGGTTAGCTGTACGAGACAAGAAAAACATACAAAAGCTCGGCTATCATACGGCAACGAGAATTAATCCGAAGGAT